ATGGTCTCCTGGACATCAGCGGGAAGACTAAAGTCCAAAGCAAGCGGCCTCTGATGGGCCACACGTACAGCTTCCAAATCTCGGGACGAGGATGCCATATCCTGCCCTGAAGTTGGAACAACAGATCCTCCCTGACCAGAATCTCCCAAGGTGGGAGTTCCAAGAGGGGAATCAGCTCTGAAAACCACGGCTGGGAGGGCCAGAATGGGGCTACCAAGAGGAGACGAACTCCGCTCTCTCTCACCCTGGAAAGAACTGCCTGAATATGCTTGACCGGCGGGAAAGCATAAAGTCTCCGTCTCGGCCAAGGGTGAGCGAATGCGTCTATCCCCAGAGGTTATGGGGGGCTCAAGGAGAACCAAAGAGGGCACTGGGTCGACTCCTGGGATGCAAAGAGGTCCACCTCCGCCTCTCCGAACACTTCTCAAATTAGAGCTACTGTCCGATGGTTAAACGCCCATTCCCCCAACCTGAGTTTCTGCCTCGACAGAAAATCTGCTGTGAGGTTCAGGGCTCCCGGAACATGGACTGCCCTCAGTGACAGGAATCTGCCCTGAGACCAAAGGAGAAGGCAGCGCCTTCTGTCCAACGTGCACCTGCACAAAACTGCACCTATGCTGACCCCTTTCTGAAGGAAAAGAGGGTCCCGCCAAATTGAGAGCGCGTGGAGGCAGCTGCGCGACACCTTCAATAGGCGGAAAGCTGGTCCTGTGGAACGGCCTCATGTTCCACAAGAAGTAAGCCAAGGGGAAGCACCAGAGATGCTGCAGCCATGGGGCCCAGCAGCCTACGACAAGTGCCCACAGAAACATGATGACCGAGTGAAAAACGGGCCAAACATGTCAGAAGGCTGGAAATTTTGGCAGGAGCCAACCGGGCCTGCATCAGAACCGAATCCAAGCACACCCCTAGGAAGACTGCGCTGAGAGCTAGGGCAAGAACACTCTTCTCCATGTTCAACCTCAGGCCAAGAGACTGAATGTGACGAGGGACAAGGTCCGTGTGGTGAGTCACTAATTCCTTGGAGTTGGCTAAAAGGAGCCAATCGTACAGGTAATTGAGTATCTGGATGCCCTGGAGCCGCAAGGGCAGCAACGCCAGAGCAGCATCCATACACTTCGTGAAAGTTTGTGGAGCTAGGGCAAGACCAAAGGAGAGGACCTTGTACTGGTATGCCTTCGCCCCGAAGGAGAACCTGAGAAACCTCTTGTGTCGTAGCACTACCTGAATATGAAAATGTGTATCCTTCAGGTCTATGGTCACAAGCCAGACCCCTGCTCAAATTTGAGAGATGATAGCTTTGAGCGTCAACATCTTGAATTTCCCCTTGTAGAGACAAAAATTCAGTCGGCGCAGGTCCAGTATTGGACGCAGACCTCCGCCCATTTGGGTACCAGGAAGTAACAACTGAAGAGGCCCTGCTCAATCACCTCCGGAGGAATCTCCTCTATGGCTCCTTTGAGTAAACGGGAGGAAATTTCCTGCAGTAGAACAGAAGCCTCTGTCGACTACTGTTGGGCATACTCCATTGAAGCAGGGGGGCGGGCGACAGAACTGAAGTGTGTAGCCAAGCCGAATTGTGCGGAGGACCCAGGGTGAAACCCCTGGTAGACGCTCCCAAACTGGAAAGAACTGAGAGAGAGGAGGTGGAGTGGTGCAAGGCGGCGGACATATCCGAAATGGGGTGATGTGTTGGCTCCCGGAGCGATCCAACGTGCGATCCAACGTGATCCAGCGATCCAACGTGAAGGAAGGCTGTTGACGTCCTGACACGTACAGGGGAGCACCATTTCCTGATTGGCAAAAACCAACGGGTCCATCTGCTGCTGAGAGAAAATGAAAGTGTCTCCTGCGGGAGCGAAATGAATCGGGTGAGTCGAGAGGGAGGGAAAAAAGCTGAGCGTGTCTCCTTCCTCCTGCACTAGACGGTTTGTTGAGGGGTGGCTGCACTTCGGGACACGCAGGGTGGCGAAAGTGGCCGGTTTAGAAAAGGAGAGTGAGTGAGAGGTGGGCAGAAACGCATGCGCGGTCTGACCAACCTTGTGGATCGAGAGAAGCTCTCCTTTTCCTGACCTGCGGGTGAGGAACGATTTAAGGAGGCCGAGCGAAGGGTTTGTTAGACCGCTTCAGCTCGAGGCGCTTATGGGGCCGCTGGCGAGTGAACGGGCGACCACGGGCTCCCCAGACCGTAGCGGGTGGGGGATGAGCCGAGCCACTTCTCCTGACGACAGGGAGAGATGAGAAGCCAGCATGTCCTCAACTGCTGGGATGGCGGGATAACCCTGCTCCACAGAACCAACAAGGTTGGTGAAGTCAGCGGCTGCCGCGTTAAGCTTTTGCGTTCACACTACACGCGACCAAGCGACACGATACCATTCATTTTCAATGGTGAGCGGGCGACTTCCGGCGACACGCGCGACAGCGACCATTGGCGACTGGTGGGGCATGTCCAGTGACGCAACAAAGTTGAGAAATGTTTAAATTTATGCAAATGAAGAGCGATTTTCACGAGCGAAACCCAATAGGAGTGAAGTCAGTGGAGCGCGTCACTCTTCAGTGCTGAGTCTGACCAAGGCAAGTGGCAAGTTGAACAAGAAGCTAATTTTAGCAGTCAGAAACTGTCCTATAATGTATGATATATCTCCGTGAACATACAGTGGTGTTCACCGTACTGACTCCGTGAGACGGAGGGAGAGAAAGGGCATGGCCCGTCTGCTCAAACTCCATATCCTAGAGCTCTAATGTTACATCCGAGCCCCAGGTCGTGGATTCAAATGAGGCCTCAGCGGCCTCGGGAGCACGACGAGGGGGGGGGGGGGGCGAATGACTCTTCTCAAACACCGCGAACCGCGAGCGGAGAGTTTGAGAAGGAGGTTATCACAAAATTTGCATTTTGAAGTTCCTAAAATAGCCTGAAACACCCAAGCACTTAATACACTTACTGTGCGGGTCGTCGTTCGCGATGAAGCAAACGCACATGGCGGCGGGCAACAACGATACTCCATGACACTTCACCGCAAGGAGAACAGGGTTCCACTGAAAGCAGTCGCTGAAGTGCAAATGAAGAACAGGTGAAATCCAGTGAGATAATCCATTGATACTGGCTCAGAAAAAAGCAAAGTCGAAGGGCGAAATGGCCGCTTCGTGAAGGCAGAGAAATCTGAGGAGCGGATGGGGCGCGCTATTATAATATGATGACGCATAGGCGTCAAAGGGCGTGGCTGCGCCATCAGCCAATAGGATTGGCGTGATTCTATAAGGGCTTCAGACAATCAGCACACCCAGAGGGTGCTCCCACTGCGTCATAAGCTACGCAACGTTGAGTGAACCCTACTGTATGAAAGAAAACACATTCAGTTTATTAGTACTATTACAGATATTTGACTCTTTTATTTACGTATGATTGACAGATATGAGTCACATTATGTCTATTAGTTTGTTAGAACTTTGTAATTCAAAAGGGTTAAACATATATGCAGTTTTATTTATTGTTTTTTCATAATTTTAATGTAAAATCTCCCTTTGAACATGCACTGACTGACAGTAAGTAATGAATGTCTCATCTATGTAATAATCTCAGTATTTGAACAGATTGGTGATGAATTGGAGTGAAACGCGTTACTCTTATATCAGGAGTGAAACACGAGGAAGAGAATCTCCAAAGAAGTGTGGACGTCTTCTGACTCATGAATGCATAACATTCCAGAACAATCATAACATCAGTCTGCGGTCCTCTGTCCTCTGCCGATGACGAAGCGATTTCAGTTTTTATTGAATGTATCATTTATTCAGCAGTAATGCTCAGAAGTCTGAGGCCGCTCGTGAAATGTTTTTATTTGCTTTATTTCTTTCAAATAAAAAGATGAACAGGATTTGAGACAATCCAAAGAGCCTAGTGACCTTGACATAGTGCATTATATCTTTAAAAAAATCTTAATTATTTGATGACATTGTTTTTTTTTTAACTCGTTTTGGAAAAAAAAAATGAATTTTGTTAGTTACATAAAAAATGTAAAAAATACATTGTCACAACAGAAAAAATATGTTCTTCCTCAGTGTTGAAACCTGGTTGAAACACTCTCTGCTCAGTGTTTCTGTCTCGTTTTCCAGCACTAATATCCAAACATTCTTAAATCAAGAAACATTTACTAGAGAAGATATTATCAAGTCTTGTTTTTTAAGGTTTGGCTTAAAACAAGAAATAATATCTGCTAGTGAAGTCAGGGAAATGAATAATAGATAAACAAAACAGTCAAAATTGATTTTTAAAATATATTTATAGATACTTTTTCTTGCTTAAGCGCAAACTTTAAACTTTTAAGTTTAAAGACATTTCATGTCCTTTTAGGAATGTTAAAAAAGCAAAACACAAACACTCCCAGTCATGATTAATTGGGTATGAGAACGATTGTATAAGATTCACTCTTGGGCTTTAACCCGTTTCATGTTGTTGTTTGGTTTCCCTTTTCTCCCAGCCGTGCCGGATGATACCCGTGTGTGTCAGGTCAGTGTTCAGAGCTGGTATGTGTGTGTGTGTGTTCAAACCCTGCAGACAGGTGTCTGAGACGCTCTTCAGTTTGACCTGCTTTTTCTCCCCCACCACTGGCCTAGGCACAGTATAACACACACACACACACACCAGTCCAGGTCTGGATCTAGGTCACAGAGGTGTGTGTGTGTGTGTGTGTTGGGGAGGGGGTCTAATTGGGTTGGGACCAGATTGCTCATTACGAGCCCATCCAAGCAAAAGTCCACTGGTGTTTTCAGTGATCCAACCATCTGTTTTTCTTTTACTCAGTTGTTCAACTCTTTTCAGATTGTCTATGATCCTCCTTTGTCTGCTGGAGGTGTTGATGTGAACGTTTGCGCCCAAAAAAGCTTCCAGTGTCCTGATTGGATCACCTTCAACTAATCCTGACAGTCACATGATTAGAGCCAGATGCCGATTGGCTGGCTGCTGCTCCTCAAAGGTCTGGCGCAGCCGAGCGTGGGCAGTGTGTGTTACGGTGGTCAACGAGTGTGAGAGTCAGAAGATCTGCTGTTGGACTTTATGGAAACAGGAGAGAAACCAGACGAGATGGCTGAGTGAAGCTCAGTGGGACACAGAGATGACCTGACCAAAGACAGAGGATCCAACAGCTTCACCAATGTGAAGTGAGTCCAATGTTATTATTATTATTGATAGGAAACATGTTGTGATCTTCAGGTCTGGTGTTGGATGGATGATGTATTCTGTGTTGAGGTGTAAGTGGATAAAGTGTAAGTTTGTGTGAATGGCTCCATCACTGGCATTATTTTGAATGGGGTTTGAATTTGGTATGGTCACTAAGAAAACATTTTATTATAATTTACTTGAAAACTTTAATACTGAAAAATCATCAACATCAAGTGAGTTTTTGCTTGTGGAGTCAGAGAAGTAATCTTGTTTTCCCTTTGAAAAAGTTTAGATTTCTGACTCTGTTGACAGATATTCGTTCTTGTGTTAAGCACAAACTAATTTTTATTCACCCTTCTGGCCTACAGACTCAATTACAGGGCTAAGTGTGTAACGACATAGACTACATTTACTCACAAGAATACACTGTATTTCTCATAAACGTGGAGTTGGTACACACCACTGCTATTGTCATCTGCAATTAGTCATCTGATAGTTGTATGTGGTTGTCGAATTCTGAAGAAAGTTCGTTCATCTCTGGCCTCAGGGCTGGTTCACAGTCACAGTGTAAGAATACAGTATATGCTATCATGTGTTGCAACACACACTTACAGTATATTGTATTATGCAAGGTGTGTATTGCATGTTTGGAGACCTGAGAGGAAGTGTGTGTATGGCTAAAGACGCATTTCGCTTTTTCTTTAGAACTTTAACTAACCAATAAAGCAAAAGGAGAACCAAAGCAACCCGAACCAAAGGAGAACATACCAAACCGAAAACCAAGCGAGTGACAACTGAAGGATTGAAGATGAAGCTGGAAGCGTGTCTCGAGGACTTGAGCGAGTGGAGGGAACTGGACTTCGCCATGAACTGCACATATATTGTCCAGGACCAGGCGTGCGAGCCGAGCTTTGGGCTCCCGAAGGCCATGACCTCCATCCCACGAAACCTCACCTTCCAGTACAGCGCCGACAACCAGGTACGCATTCCAAGTTCTCAGTTCCCCCCGTCCCCCATCCCCAGTCCCTAGTCCCCAGTCTCAGTCCCACGTCTCCAGTCTCAGTCCCCAGTCCCCCGTCCCCAGTGCCCAGTCCCCAGACCCTAGTCCCCAGTCCCCAGGTCCCAGGTCCCAGTCCCCAGACCCAACTATTTTCTATTTTAATATATTTTAAGATGCAATTTAAAAGTTTTGGGTAAAAAATAAATAATAAAGTGAAATGCTTTATTGTGTGTGATTTGCAAGTTTGATTTATTTTAAGACATGTAAGCTGAAGATCTAAAATAAGTTAAAATGGTTGGTTCAACTGATTTAATTGTCTTATTTTTATATATAAATGAGCTTAAATGTTAAGTAAACAGAACTAAGATTTGTTTTGATCTCACATGGCCTGCACTGTGTTGGATTTACTTAAAAGATATATGCACCATTTTTGCGTCATACTTTTTAAGTAATCCGTAATCATTTAATTAAGTAAATTTTTAACTTGGAATAATTTTACATAAAATAAACTTAAATATTTTAGTTCACGTGACATTCTTTACTTAAAAATATATGTAACGTGATGCATACATTTTTAAGTAAAGAATGTTGCGTGAACTCAAATAATTAAGTACATATAACAAAGATTTTCTTGTTAATTTTAAGTAAAATTATTCCAAGTTGGGATTACTTAAAAAGTATGGTGCATATATATTTTAAGTAAATCCAACACATCATTTTTTAGAGTGTGGTCGCTCATCTAACATGTTTCAGAGAACATTCAGAAGTAATATTCCAATAAACCAATGGAATGCTTGCGTTACACTTTACTTTATGTAAAAATGTATTCATCATGTACATAATGCATTATGGATAATTGTAACCAAAGTTAAAATGCATTGTAATATTTGCAGATTTCTCGTTCTATCTGAAACTGTCGTGATATTATGCATTATATTTTCTAAAAGTGTAACAATGTATTATAAGTGTGGTTACAATTATTCATGAGATAATACCATGCATTATAATGTGCACAATTAATACATTAAAGTAAAGTTATGTAAAGTGTTACCAAAAGGTTTTAAAAACGTTTTGAAGATTCAGAAGTAACAGTTTTATAACATTCTTAGAACATGTTTATGTTGGCTGGTCATGCTGTCATTTAAAAAAGTCCATCATGACGGTGTTTTGTTGTGTATGAGTTAATCTCAGCACTTGAAGTCCAGGTCCATGAGTGGGATTGTTCATTAAAGTGTCCGATGACGGAAACGGCTGGTTTGGTTTGAGTAGTTGAGTAGGTCAGTGTGACGATGACAGAGGATCTAATCACACACACACACACACACACTCTCTCTCTCTCTCTCTCTCTCTCTCTCTCTCTCTCTCTCTCTCTCTCTCTCTATCTCTGTGTGTTGGATGTCACTAGTTCTCTTGCTGGACTCGACTTGTGGCGTGTGGTGTGTGTGTCAATGTAAGGTCATGTTACACGGCTTTCTGGAGTGTTTGATTCTGATGTTTAAAGGCTCTTATTCTTCGGATAAAACAGTAAACAAAATCACAATAAATGATCACCCTGTAGAGGTTATTTTGGGTTGATAATCGATTGATTGTTAATTATTTCTTGGTTACTTTTGATGGCAGCTTATTTAGCATTTTTTGTAATAAAATAAGATTGCTGCAGTTTATGGAAGCTTGTTTTTTGGCACAGAATTGCAACTTTTTATATCAGAATCAATCAGAAAGTCAGAAAGTTGCAATTGCGTGTTTTTGACTCTTTTTTTTTTTACTTTTTTGCGTGTTTGTATCTCACAATTCTGAGAAAAGATGCTTTTGATTGATACACAACACTCTAGAAAATGCTGGGTTATTTTAACCCAATTTTGGGTCAAATATGGACAAACTCAAACATTTGGTTAAAAATTTAATTTGAAAATGTATCCCAATGGCTTTGTCCATATTTGACCCAAAATTGGTTTAAAACAGCCCAGCATTTTTTAGATAAAAAGTTGCAATTACCTTTTTAAATGTTTTATTGTGTGTCGGAAACAATCAAGCTTCTATGTTAGTGTTTGCAGTCTCCATCATCTCTTGCCCGTGTCACTCGGCCTTTGCTGTGGTTTCTCTGCGTCGGCTTCATGCGTTTCTTCGCTCTTCTGTTCGTCTTTTGCATTCGATCCAGTTTCCCTCCTTCGCAGGTGAAAGTCAGTTCCTCTTTCTAAAGCTCTTTGCTCTTTTTATATCCTGTCACACTGAAGGTGTGAACTTGTGGTCATGAGCTCATAAACACACACACGCACAAACACCGGCCGGCCCGTGAATGTGCAAAGATAAAACAATACGTGTGAAAAATATTCGGCTTCTGATGAGACCTCAAGATCAGCAAGACATTAAAACTGTGTGTGTGTGTGTGTTTGTGTGTGTATATACAGTATAGTATGTATGTGTATATATATAGGAATTCTATATAGCCATGTATCTTTATCTATCTTTTCTTGTAAGTGCTTCTTTTAACATGATTCTCATTAGCCGCATAATGAAGCTTTCGGGCCACATTCAATCGCTTCTTTCTCTTCCCCTTTCACACACTCTTTCATGTCTCACGTTCATATTCTCACTGTCATCTTTTATCACACATTGAGCCTCTTTTATTCAAGCAGAATCAAGCAAATCCTTGAATCCAGCGCCTGTCCCGATGGACGAGAGCGAACAGCAGATTCTGTATCTCACACACACTCGAGAGGAATCGATCACACACTTCCTATTCCTGGCCGCTGATTCTGTGAAAAGCTTTGCTCTTAACTGTCATTGACGTTTGCCTCGGACAGAAAAACCCAGTGGTCAGTTCCTGGAGGGCCGACAGCACTTTTTTATTGCAAGGAAAAATGAAAGCTTTTTAGGGATGTTGGAAAGCCAGTCTCAGGGTGACGAGATGCAGTCACTCGCTGATGGGTTTTTGTGATGCATACGCACATATTCCAGAGTTTCTGTGTTTGTGAAAGTCTGCGTATTAATGTGTCGTCGGTGCGCAGTGTGTTGTTGTAGGGAAGAACTGAAACTCTCGAATGATGTCTGATGTGTAACTTAAACTAAATGTGTTTTCTTTGTCTTGTTTTTCCAGTGCAAATCTCTAAATGTTTTTTAAATTAAATCCATGTACATTTACTGGAGAAGCAATTAAAGTAATTTTAATTTTTTCATTGTTTATTTTCCGGGAACTAACTCGTCACAATATTCCTCATTATAATAATTCATATGCAGAATAAAGGGGCAGGGCCTGGTTGAGTTAGTTAGTAGTGTGTTAAACTGGAGGTTGTGGAAAGGGGTGGGACATTTCCCAAACACACTCGAAGCGCTCGGCCAATCACAACACACTACTCCAGCCGACCAATCAGAGCACAGTGTGCTTTCAGAAAGAGGGGCTTCATAGAGACAGGAAGTAAACAGAGCGTTACTGACAGACTGAGAAGAGACGAGCCGCAACAATGGAGAATAATCAACATTTACTATTCAAACCTGTTCTAGTAGAGCCTGAAACATCATCACGGCTTGCAACTTATTCTTAGTCTACTCTACTAATTCTGTAATGAAAGCTAGTAGACATGAGGTGCAACTAGTCAACAGATTTTTTTAAAGAGACCATCAAAATAAAGTGAAACCGAGTTTTTAAAGAAAAGCAAGACAATCTTTGTTTGCAGTGTGTTAACGAGCAACAGGCAGAATGGCACGCAGTCATGCATGTAAGCGTGTGTATAAACGAAGCGTGCCTCCCGAGCGGGGGCACGTGGCAGATGGGGTGATCTGTGACTCAAATGCACAAACACTTATAGAATCTCAGGCAAAGGAAGTAGGTTAAGCTCGACTGATTAACTTTCGTTTGGACCTGGATCCTCGGACAGCTGCGGGGTGTTGGGTTAGCGTGGTGCCGCTGGCCTCGTCCGAGAGTGACACACACACACACTCACCCCCTCCTCTGACTCCATAAACCCTCTCTGAGCGGTTAATCACTAAAGAACAACCAATTAGTCACGCAACGCTAACGACTCACAATTCTTCTGTCAGTGCAGCTCACGTCTAAGTGACCGTCCCTGTACTTATTGCAATCCATGATGTCTTTATCCTGCAGTAATTTTGTATTTTTCAGTGTTTCTGTGTAGTTTTCCAGCACTAATATCTAAAAATTCTTTAAGAATGAGAAACAAGCCAAAAGCACTAAGTATGCGGGTTGGTTGTGAGCTGGTTGTTCGGGGCCGTGACCCCCACGCCACACTTTGACCCATTTTACAGGCCGGTTTCTGCGCTCGACAGCGTCGAGTGTCGACCACCTGCTCCAGTTTCTCTTCTGCCTCTTTTTAAGACATTGTTTGTCAATACCAGACAACTTTTGCCAGCAGGGTCATTGGGGTCAGGCTTATTGAGGACAGCTGTATGTTTCCAGGTCAGGCTCCAAGTAGAGCAGGGAAAGTATAAGTCTGTTAACTCGTTAGTGTGCTACCTTAGGTCACCTATGACGTTTCCTACAGGTCATCTCCATTGAATTCAGTGCACTAGTGTATCATTAATGATTTATGTGCTGACTCACAGTCTGCTTCTCTCTGCAGGTGACCGGTGTGTTCAGTAAAGAGTACATCCCTCAGGGCACGAGATTCGGACCTCTTCAAGGGGTCGTCTACACCAAAGACAATGTGCCCCTTCATGCCAACCGGAAGTACTTTTGGAGGGTAAGTGACTTCATTACTGCACTAATCCTTCAGGGACACCGTTTCTGCTGAAAAGCTGCTAAACCGGTCACGACTTTCCCGAGAATTTTAGCAGAAAGGAGCCGGAAGCTTAAACATCCAAGCAAGAATACATACCATGACGCCTTGGCTTCTTCGACACGATCGTGTTTCCTTTAAACACACGCCTATGTTTAGACACATGCATGCATTGAATAAGTAGTTATTCCTATTGTTCTTTTAAGGGCTTGTTTGGAAAACACAGAGGAAGCTCTGAGAGCCGTTTCCTGTTTGCTGTAGATTCCTCTCCGTTCTCAGAGGCTTTACTCCAAGTGTGCCTCTTTCGAAACCATTCGTCAAAAACACAACGATAGCGCAAGTCTTTGGTTTGTGGCCAGGTTTTAGAGAAGTCGGGATTCCTGCACAGACAGGGACGCACGCACACACACACACATCACTTTCTTTTCAGTTCTTTGTGTTCTCATATCAGCATGCATCTAAGTGAACTTCAGTCTCTTTATCTCTCTGCCAAGGTCACTAGATCTGCCTGTGTATGTGTTTGTTTATATGCATGGTGTGCGTGTGTGTGCGTGTCGCTTTGGGCTTTCCTAGTCTGAGCTGTCCTTTCCTTTCTCCGTTTCCTGTAAATCCTTTCAAACTTCCTCTTGCCATATAGAATTGCAATGACGCATCGTGTCACGTGACCGAGGGCAGGAGGACGGATGTGTCCATGTGGGTGAAAGTGTGTTTGTGTTTATGAGTCTTCAAGGGTGTGACTGGTTAAAGGAGCGTCTGTGATAGTGGAGATGTCATGCCTCGGCACGTCTGCACAGTGAATTCCCCCACACACAACTGAGAACGAAAGTGGGAGGAGTCAAGGGCAGAGCCTGAGCATGTGACTGGCAGCATGTGTGGAGCGTTATAAAAAGCCTGACATCATTGACACACAAAGTTAGTCACACATCTTCAGCAGGACAAGCCACACACACACTTTCACAGGTTAGGAGACACAGAGGAGTTGATATAAAAAGCTGTTTATCAAGCATTCTGTTCATGGCAGAGGTAAAGAACCTTTAGTAACGACTGATTCACAGCTTTAAAGAGTGATTTTAGTGTTTAACGGTAATGGTTTTGACACCTGCAGACTCAAGCCTTCATGTTTTCCTCTCTCTCTTCATCCAGATCTACAGTGGTGGGCACTTACACCACTTCATCGATGGCTACGACGTCCAGCGCAGCAACTGGATGCGGTTCGTTAACCCGGCACGCTCGGGGGCCGAACAGAACCTGGTGGCCTGTCAGAACGGCCAGGAGATCTTCTTCTACACGCTGCGGCCCGTGGAGCCCGAGCAGGAGCTGCTGGTGTGGTACAGCCCCGAGTTCTCCCAGAGACTGTGTGGCCAGCCGGTGCAGCCCGACCGCCTCAAGCCAAGTGAGTCACGCTGGGACTGTCCCACCGCCGGCTCGGGGATGGAAAACTGGATGTGCTTTGATGCATATAGGGGCTTTTGCTTTTCCTCCTGTGTCTTGATTGTGTTTTTTCTTGCTGTCTTGAAGCAATATGATTAGTCACATCAGTTACCTTTGTGTTTTCCCGGAGTCTTTCCTTTCCTCAGTATATAGTGGGTTTCTTCCCCTCTTTTGTTTTTCTTCTTATATATCTTTATACTAATATTAGTCATGAGTCACATCAGCTACCTTTGTGTTTGCCCTGAGTGTTTCATCAACATTAGGCGACTCCTTTAACCCATTTGAACTGAAATTCACAAATAATTCCAACGAATCGATCATTGGACATATGCGTTGCGTTCTTTTATGCCTCTAACTAAAAACAAAGTTGGCTTCAAATTTTGGCTTCTACTTTTTTTATGTAATTTTCCCAAATACTTTCAAGGAATCGGTCATTGAACGAAACATGAAATTTTAAAGGCTAAATGCTTGTTATTTACAACTTTGAGAGTCGTTTTTGACAGTGTAAGAGTTCAGTAATTAGCGGGCACCCTCAGATCTTCTGCGCACACTAGTAATATTGACATCCAAAATACATATGGGAGGTTGTTTGATATTTTTGTCATATACAGTCAAACCAGTATTAATTGCTATCCTAACTTACGTAAATGAACTATCATATCCTGCACTCACTAGTAAAAATAATAATATAAAAAAAGGTTACACTTTATTTGGATAGTCACTTTAGACATTCTACTAACTATAAGTAACTTTTCAACTACATGTCAACTAAGTGTCTTTAGAGTATTAGTAGGCTGTAGTAGACTGTCAGTAGACTGTTAGGTTAGGGTTAGGTGTTAGGGTTCAGGTTAGGAGAACAAGTTGACTTGTAGTTGCTAAGTTACTTACAGTCAGTTGAATGTCTGTTGGGGGACCAACAAAATAAAGTGTTAGCTGATATTAAGCAGACAGTCTACTAATCCTCTAATGATAGTTAGTTGACATGTAGCGGCAAAGTTACTTGTAGTTAGTTGAATGTCTAAAGTGGACTATCAAAATAAAGTGTTACCTAAAAAAATACTGTATATATGCTGTCTGAATAATTTGATGACTGTATAGATGTACTTTCTTTACATGGCTGAAATGAGCTTTGTGATATTACACCACTAATAGGAGCATACTGTTAAATGTTTACTGAAAATTATCTCTATATGTAAAGAACAGTAAGTCAGGGATTCATTTGAGACTTGAAAACATGAAAGCCACAACATGAAAGTGACTGTCAATGAGCCTGATTGTGTATGAATGTGTGAGGTCTGTGAGTGTGTGCGGATGTTTATGACAAAACACTGGACATTTCTGTCTGAGTAGATGTCATGCGATAGCACCTATATCACACTGACACTGTTGTCTTATTCACTCCTTGGAATGCATGTATTTGTGTTTCTGTGCGTGCATTAATGTTTGCTGTTGTTAAGGACCATTACCTGAGTCATGTCGACACGCATACGCTTCTCTCTTGTGATGCTTTTCCTCAACAATTACACCTAAATATCCCTCTTTAGGAAGTCATGCGCCATGAAGAACATCAGCCTTTCTTAAAAACTCTTTTTAATTTGGATCATTCAGTCCCCTTTAACCCGTTATTTTTCTTTTGTGAGCGTAAAAGAAATCTGTATATTCAGTTTTGCATCATATCGCTCTTTTTGCTGGACTTTGGCATATCAAGTCCTTCTTCAAATCTGCTGATATTTAGTCTAATTTAAAACACGGTGAATGTCAACCGCTTCCATTCGCCCGTGTTCCTCCGGGAAACGTATTCATACACATTTGACAGTTCGGAGTTTCAAATATCCATTTTCGCTTTCCTCACGGTAGTTAGGAAATGCCTAGACGATGCCTGTAAATGTTGCACCAGATTGGGTTTGAGGAACCAAGCTTCGACCACAAGGGTTATAATGTGTTGGTGTAATCTTCCCACTGCTGTGTGACACACTCGGGCCTTGAACCACTCTCCATGATTTAGCAGATTTTGTCTGAGTCACCAGAAAGGTTACTGAAAGAAGCTCGCTGTTGTGGCTTTCCTTTTACAATCTCTGAAGCGAAAGGACAGTAATAATCTGATCTTATCTTGATTCCCTGCATAACAGTAAGTTACAGTTAGTGATTTTTCCCATGGTCGAGGACATCTGCTGTTATAGTGAGTCAGAGTAGTTTCTGAGAGAAGTATGGCCATCACACGAGTCTCACATACATATGGCCCTCCACCTCACAAACATACACACACCCACACTGCGAACACCCACACGGTTGTAATCTAGGTGCTGTGTGAAAGCAGTACTACCTCTTTGTCAAACAGAAACCAGTCAGAGATCTTCTGCCTGTCAGCTTTAAACTGAAAGAGCTGCCATTTACCATAAGTGAGCGTTTGAGGAGGAAGGGTATGAGTAGGTGTGCGGCACACAGACACACACAGGCATGTGCGACGGGTGACCGGTGTCGCTCTGTGAAGACTTGGACCTGCTTGGTCAATCTCAGCAAACCTGAAATCTGTTGACAAGTTTCGTGACACTTTATTATGATGGTCCCCAAACTGATCGTCTACTAATGCTCCAATGAGAGTGAGTTGAAGGGGTGTCACAATATATCATGTCACAATGTCATGTCGCAATACAACAATGTGTGTGAATATGTACTAGTTCACCCAAAATACAAAAGAAAAATCAAGTTTTCAGAGTTTTAGTGTCAGTAAACCGCTATATATAATGTTGAATATTAAATGTAATGATGCAATGAGGGATATTTGTGGGTCCTGATAATGCCAAATGTATTGTTACCAGTAAAAAGTGGCCTACATTGTTTTAAATATATCTAATCAGTGACAGAGTGCAAGTATATTCGTCTAAAATAATTTTATGTATTTCCAAAATCATGAATATGTTTATTCTGGTGTCTCTATTGTCCTGCGCTTTGGGTTTCAGCAGCAAGTCCAAGCCTATTTATTTCCATCCCCGATGTAAAACCAAATGTAGGATTTTAATCAACACTACATTTGTTTTGTTTTGGAGTATCGCAATGATGCCATCTGCCATGAATCGTGACACAAGGGTATTGTTAACCCCCTAGTGAGTTGACATTTACAGTATTTAAGTTAGTAGAACGTTGAAGTCTCATACTCGTGTTCTCACCTCTGCTGTCTGTCAGCCTTCACACGTCTCCTTGCACTGTGTGACCTTTTTGCGCTCTCTTTCTGCAGAGTACATGCCTGACATGGACTATCAGAAGCAGAATGTCTACTACCCTAAACAGGCCTCAAGCCCACACAAACTTCGAAACGAGGGAGAGGAAGAAGAGGTGGACGAGAAGATCGACGTGGAGCTCATTGAGAGGGACACGCCTCCTGACACACCAGACGAACAGGTCGTGGACTTCAGCAAGAAGATCCACAGAGCTGCTTCTCCACAGTTGGTGCGTTCTCCACATCCCAACCAGAAGGAGATGAACATGAGCACTCACCTGTATCCCACCCTGTCCCCGCAAGACCTCTCGCTCCACTTACAAGGCCTTTATGGTCATCATCGAGAGGGTTTGATCTCGTACCCTTCCCTGCCCTCTCCTAGACCTCTGCAAGCTCCTTATCCACTTCTACCACAGTACAATCCTCATTTTTCCCGTTTGCTGTTGCCCCCGTACTCCCCTCCCTTCCCGTCCATGTTGCCCTCGAAAGGGAGTCTCCGGTACAACGGATTCCTGGGAAGTGATGGCTTACCCTACCCTTCAATTCCCCAACCTGGTCTGTTACCAGTTACCCTTCCCTATCCCTCCCCGGTCCATGGAGGATTGAAGGAAAGAATCCCGAATACTCCCCCCGGTGCCCCGGCCACCCCCGAACTCTCCCCTCAGCAAAGCTTCCACAAGTCTCTCTCTGAATGCGAAGAAGCCATTAACCTCAGCCTGGCTTCACCCAGGAGCACACCCCCCCTGTCCTCGTCTTCTCCACCAACACCCGGGTACAAATCTCTCCCATATCCACTCAAGAAGCAGAACGGCAAAATCAAGTATGAATGCAATGTCTGCCTCAAGACCTTCGGTCAACTGTCCAACCTCAAAGTGAGTACACTTTATTCAGAGTCTTGTTTTGAGAGATGTGGAATGATGTGGTTAAGACTAAACGGTCTGTTTTTGCTTTGAAGGTGCACTTGAGGGTCCACAGTGGCGAGAGACCATTCCAGTGCAACTTGTGCAAAAAGAGTTTCACCCAGCTGGCACACTTACAGAAACATCACCTGGTCCACACGGGAGAGAAGCCACACGAATGCCAGGTGAGCTCATATGCTATGACTCAAGATAAAGTTATATCCTATTAACATGCCATGACGCACTCCTACAACATTGCTTATCTGTCAGAAGACCTTTACCTTGTCACTCCTGTTTCCTTGAAGAGAAATGCTTTGTTGTTCAGTAACTAGAGAGGGTGTGACAGTGGCGTCAGCCTGCACTAGTTATTCATTTTGACCACTGAAAATTAACAAGTCCTTTAGTGTGGCTGGCTTGCTGTCTGCATACCAGAGCAAACAATGAGGTGATTATGTAAGGCTGCTCTTTGAATTAAAGTCTGTGATTCTCTTTGAATGTCCACAGGTGTGCCACAAACGCTTCAGCAGCACCAGCAACCTTAAAACACACTTGCGTCTGCACTCGGGAGAGAAGCCGTATCAGTGTAAGCTGTGTGGAGTGAAGTTTACCCAGTATATCCACCTCAAACTCCACCGTCGGCTTCACAGCTCCTGCGAGCGACCGCACACCTGCCAAACCTGCACCCGAGGCTTCCTCCATGGCTTCTCCCTACACCTCCACCAGCGCTCGGGATGCTGTCCCAACACCCGTCCCGAGATCCCCGAGCTGGTGGAGCGATTCGACGCCAGTCACGAGGCCGAGGCTCTTCCGGAGAACGCCGGAGACGCTCAGGTCGACACCGCCTTGGAGAAATGGCTGGCTAGGAGTCTGGAAAACGGCGAGGGGAAGGAAGACGTGGGATTCCTCAAGGCTTTCAGTGCTTCAGTACCTCAGGGAGAAACCATCATGGGCCACCATCCCCAGGAGAGAGCCAGCGTGGTTCACTTCAACCATCGGCACTCCATTAAGACTGAGGAGGAGTAGATGACCCATCCCAGCAAGCAATCTTTGTATCTAAAGGACGTCTAATAGCCGTTTAATAGCTAAATCGTGTCTATAGATTGACATGATATCTTGTTGATAATATTGACATTGGTAACCATCTCACGCGCTGCCTGGCCAAAAACTACAATGAATCAGGGTTGACTCTAAATAGCACAGAACATGTCAAAGAAACCAAACACCTTGTAATCACTGTTGAATTTGCTGTTTTGTAATGTCATCAAATTCAAGGTTATGAATTTAGAAGTCTGTAAGTGTGTTACTCATAGCCGGACTATATATCGAGTCTATAGTTAACCTATTGACGGCTATTGCTTGCTGAGAGTGCTCCTTCAGGTCTTCCAGAAACCCCTCAAAAATGCGATCTATGCACAGGGCATTCCCTAGTTGACCAAAAATCCTATCTTTCCTGGGAAAATCAGAGAGAAGATGCATAAACCAAGCCAATGAGAGCCGCACCAAACAAATACTTGTACTTTCCAAAGACTTGAAGAAAGTGATTGCACTTCCACCCTCTGACCTGTTGTAGAATGAAGATGTGATTTATACTGTCCTCATCTGGTTTTCAAACCAGTCTGTCTGTGTGAGTTTGTCTTAACTTATTATTGTTGAGTTTTTGAGCACTGTATCAAATGTTTATTTGTGTACTTTTTATGTATTTTTAAACAAATATTGGGATTCTCAGGAATTATGTGTCAATCCCACTATGGACACTATATGTTACAGTCCCAAATGGACTGGATCTTCTCCGTCCATTCCAATGGTCTGTGTGCGAATGTGTGCAGATGGATGTACGTGGCTATGATTTTACCTGGTGTTCAATAATTGTGAATGTGATCTTTTATGAAAGTATGTATAATGTATCTTTTCAATGGATCATTCACTGTAGATTCTAAGAATAATATAGCAGTTTTCTCAGATCTTGAACTCCTTGGACATTGGAAAGAAAACATGCCTCACTTTTTATTTAATATTCGAAATATTCTTTGTTTTCTTAGTTTAATGTTACTTGGTTGTGTCTACCAATGTTTACTGTTGTCTCTTTAATTCAAACAAGTGTTGTTAGCACTATGAAAATGATCAACTCCATGTAGCTGAAACTGAATTTGCCAATCATGAAGATTGCAATACTTATTTCTTATAGACTGCAGTACCTCATACTAAAAAGTTAAATTGTTAGTTTCATATGTTATGCTCTTTTAATTTATTTGATGTCAGCACTGGAAAAAGCAGGAACTAGATCCAAGTGCAGACTGTTAGCTGTCACAGGGTTTAGAAAGGAGACATTTTGTAAAGTTCTTTTGTTATCCTAGTTTATTTTTGACTCAGTCCAAAGGATGTTGATACTTTATATGTGAGAACTTATTTTTTGACAAACTTTTATAATGTAGCGCATTAAACATGACTTGTCTAAGACCTCGCTCTGTCCGTGTGATTGTGTTGTTGAAGACCTTGTTCTCATAGAATCAGGTTTTCACACTCGCTTCGCTTCTCGCTTCTCTCTGTGGTCGTATTTCTAGAAAGTAGAGGAACTGAAATTGTTGCTCATCAGCCAAGACTGATCAAAAATGCCCACCGTCACGTGCATTGCTATTTTTCATTTTGGTGTGAAAAAGAAATCATAAAAACACCCCCAACCTTTGCCTACTGTTACTTTACAGTCACAAATAAATAACTCCTCCCAGCAATTAGATTATACATGATGATATCAAGACGTATGTAATATTAGATTTTCTGAAATATCTGGTTCAACTAACGGTGCTCCTAAAAAGTGGCCGAACACCTCAAATGTAACTTTAAAATTACGATACCTTTGTTTCCACAATACAAAACAAATAACTAATTAAATATTTGCTCAATTAACCCCTTCATTGCTGTTTGCTTGCTTTCTGCATTCTGGCTGATTTAGTTTGTATCACCAAAAAAAAAAAAAAGAGTGTTTTCAAGTTCAGTTAATTGAAGCACGTTTAAAAACAGCCACAAGATGAACCAAAGTGCTGTACAAAACATCTGAATATAAATCCTAAATACATATTTAAGATAACACACACAAATATAAAATAATATAGTTCACTTTTGAAAAAACTTTTGCTGATAATTTACTCACCCACATGTCATCCAAGATGTCCATGTCATTCTTTTTATTTTATTTTATTTTTAATTAAAGGTTTTTGATGAAAAAACATTCCAGCATTTTTCTCCATATAATGGACTTTAATGGGAACCAACGGTTCAAGGTCCAAAAGACAGTTTCAGTGCAAACTGCAAACTGTTCAAAGGGCTTTAAACGATTCCAGACAATGAATAAAGGTCTTATCAAGCAAAAAGATCACTCATTTAATAAATAAATAACAAAGTCATCAAAATTTCATCAAATCTTTTTTCCGAGTCATTGGTTCAAAACGAATGAATTGCTTCAGAAAAATATTTGTTCATTTTGATGAATGAGTTTGAACAGGAGTCACGAGCGCGCATCGCAGTGCAGAGCTTATTTTTAATTTTTTAATTTTTTATTTTTTTAAATGAGCGATCGTTTTGCTAGATAAGACCCTTATTCATCGTTTGGAATCGTTTAAAGACCTTTGAACAGTTTGCACTGAAACTCTCATTTGGACCTTGAACCGTTTGGTTCCCATTGAAGTTCATTATATAGAGAAAAATTCCGGAAGGTTTTCATCAAAAATTTACTTAATTTCTTTTCGACTGAAGAAAGAAAGATATGGACATCTTGGATGACATGGGGGTGAGTAAATTATCAGCAAAAGTTGATCGAAAACAAATACGTTTTAAAAGTGTGACTTTTCAAATCATATGCACACTTTTATTTTTGTGTGTGTGTTTACATAGCAAGTTCCACAAAAGTCACCAAGTGTCATACCCTTCCAACAAAGTAAAACAAAAAAAACACGTTCTTTTTCTCAGTCAAAAGTGGCCAGCGAGCACCACCGGGTTAAACGTCCTGTGTATATGGTGTAAAAGTCATTTCGTAGTTCTACTATTTGTGAAACTGGAGGCTAAATATGAAGCAATGCTTTGATTTGAGTAACTGAGGCGGTTTCTGGTCATCACTCCTGCTGTTCTCACTGCTCTTCTCGCTGAAACTGCGATCGACATGAGTGTCGGTAATGGAAGACAGGCAGTTACAGTAAGACATGTCTCATGTCTTCAGTGTCCTCTCTGAGTTCAACGTACACGATCTGTTTCCTTCTGTCAAAGCCTCCCCTCTTCTCCGCTGGCACACACACATGAGGGGAGAGCCCCGGACCACACACACACACACCTCACCTCAGACCAGAGCAAACACACCTCAGTGCACGCGCGTGGCGTGTGTGCGTGTGAAAGAGAGACAAGTGAAAGAAAGCGCTTCTGTCATCGGCATCATGTCAAACCACCACTTTGAATACCTTTAGGAGAAGTTGCGAGACGCCCTTTTATGGCAGAAAGGAGAAAGAAACAGAGAGAGGCATGTGAAAGAAAGAAAGAGTGGAACTCGACTTGCTGTAAATGACATGCGGCGTGCGTGTGTGTGTGTGTGTGTGTGTGTGTGTGGGTGTGTGTTTGTTTTATGTTCAGAGTACTTGCATTGCCTTCCTGCGCACACTTAAAACTTCGAGCATTCAGTAATCTGTTGTTGTTCTCTGAAACCCAGAAGCTTCAGTTCTGTGAACCGCGGCTCTGGGGCAAAAGCCCTTAATGCAGAAAACATGCAGTGTGTTAGGTATCTCAAACATTTTACAGATCAAACACATTCAATCAGCCGTTGAGCGCCACTGTAAAAAAGACTTTTTGAGGATTGTAAAGATTGTTGTTTACAAGGAAATAGCCTACTGTTGCATTCTACTTCATTCAATGCATTACTTGTCCTTTGTGATTTTTTTTAAAAAGTACAGTAAATCCTCCATTCATTTTTCAAATGGAAAAGGTAAAATCTGGAATTTTGAAACCTATAGTTAAAGGGTTAGTTCACCCAAAAATGAAAATTCTGTCAGTATTTACTCACCCTCATGTTGTTGAAACCCCGTAAGACCTTCGTTCATCTTCGGAACACAAATTAAGATATTTAAGATATTAAGATCACTCCTGCATACTAGTCCATAGGCTTCTTGAGGGAATGACTCTTGCTGGCATCGAAAAGTCATTAAAGACATCGTTAAAATAGTCCAAGTGACTACAGTGGCTCAATTTTAACTTTATCAAACGACGAGAATACTTTTTGTGCGCAAAAACAAACAAAAATAACGACTTTATTTCAACTATTCACTTCCTTCTCCATGGGCCTGTAGTCAGTTAACGTAGTGTGATTGCGTAAAGCTACGTCACACGTAGGCTCACTATTGGCCGACGCTGGTCATGTGTGTGATGCGTGTGACGTACAATAACAGAAGCTTACGCTATTAAACTAGTAACCTGACTCGCGCAGAGGGAGAAATAAACGAATAGTTGAAATAAAGTCGTTTTTTTTTGCGCACAAAAGTGTTCTCGTCGTTTGATAAACTTAAGATTGAGCCCCTGTAGTCACTTGGACTATTTTAACGATGTCTTTATTGACTTTTCGAGGACAGCAAGTCATTCCCTCAAGAAGCCTATGGACTAGTATACAGGAGTGATCTTAATATCTTAAATATCTTAATTTGTGTTCCGAAGATGAACGAATGTCTTACGGGGTTGGAACAACATGAGGGTGAGTAAATACTGACAGAATTTTCATTTTTGGGTGAACTAACCCTTTAAGTTTTTTTTTTATGCGATTCATGTCAAGATGGGGTTCCTTTCAGTGTTATTAATTATAGTTTTATTTATATACTTTATGTTAATTTTAGTTTTAATTTTTTTAGTCATGTCATGTGCTTTTATCATTTTATTACTTTTTTCTTTAAATAATGCTATTTAGGTCTAATTTATTTTTATTTCAGTTTTAGTTTTAATTTTAATTTATTTCCAGGTAGTTATTTTAGTATCTCACCTTAAAATTATTTCAGTTTTTTGCCAAGGCAACATATCCGATTATTGTTTAAAGTTCTCCAACTAATATTTATATATATATTTTTTAAAATCTTGTGAATTATGATTAAATCTGCAGCTCACATGTGGAAAGTTTTTAGCATAACTTTGCCATGCCTGTTTCAATCGGTCGAAACATCATCTTAAGAAGATAACCGGTTTCATATAGTTCAATTACAACCTTAAATAAATAATTCCGCTAAAAGTGTATGATTCCTCATTTTTAATTTCATAATTCCTTTGATGTTGCTCTATTAAAGTAATGGAGTGTCCTCTTACAGTTAGACGAGTGTGTGTAATGACACTGAAAGCAACATTCCTGGCGCTCGGCCAGACTTCCATCTGACTTCTTCTCATAAATCACTCTGAAGTGTCTCATGTCTCTGACTACAAGAGAACTAAAAGTGCAAGCGGCCCGTCTCTTCCAGTGAACCCGAGTCCGGAAAAGCAACATTCACCGATTCAACATATTATCATACCTCTGTCTCATCTTACCCTCGCTTTACGAGCAACACAGTGGAACGTCCAATTAAACAATACTTCACAGTGTTTGCATATGCAAATATTAGTTAATGCATTGACAAGTACACTGCAAAAACAAATGTACGTAAAATCCACAGTAACATACTGTAAAAGCTTATACAGTAACTGTTAAGATTACTGTGAAAACAGCAGAAATCATTTACAGTGTAGTTTAAAGGGATGCTCCACCCAAAAATGAAAATTCTGTCATCATTTACTCGTCCTCAAGTTGTTGCAAACCTGTATGACTTTCTTTCTTCTGCTGAACACAAAAGGAAGATATTTTGAAGAACGATTGGAACCAAACAGTTGTTTGGCACCAAGTAGAAACAAAATACTATGGAAGTCAGTGGTGCCAAAGTTCCAGTCGCTCTTCAAAATATATTCCTTTGTGTTCAGAAGAAGAAAGAAACTCATACAGGTTTGCAACAACTTGATGACAGAATTTTAATTTTAGGGTGGAGTATCCATTTAATGTTACTTTCTACATATAAAAACCTTTTTAGCATTTCAAATTGCATGATTAACAACCTAAAGCATTAACTGTTGTAAAATGCTACTAACTTTCATTTAGACAGTAATATTTGTGTCCATTTTTAAGTCAAGTCATCTATATTTATATAGTGCTTTTTACCATATGGATTGTATCAAAGCAGCTTCACAGTGATAACATGAAAGTAATGCTAAAACTAAGTTGTTTTTTAAATCAAGTAGATTGCGTCATCGTCCGCCTGAAGTAAGGCAGATCAATAATACTGTCGGATATTAAATGTCTCCAACTAAGCAGCCGAAAGCCGTGAAGGAACCCAAACTCCATCAGGGACAGAATGGGGAGATAAACGCTTGTGAGAACCCAGACTCAGTCACTCAGGTGATTAAATAATCTCGAATAG